ACAAATCTGTGGTCCATACCTGTTTGGAAGACATCAAAACATGCCTTGATTGATGTCTGTAGTTTGGAATAAAGGGAAGGGATGATCAGCAAACAACCATGTATTTTGTACAGCCTGTGTCTGAAACAGCAGCTAATTTAAAAAGGAAAGACAAGAATTTCCTGACGTTTCAGCACCATTCGTTCACAAGAAGTGGTCTGACAAGCATATCTAACAACTAAACAAATGCCTTTGACACCATTCACAAGGAGAATGAGGAGGAACTAAGATAATTGCTATATTGTTTATAGATGTTCAGGCTCCTAAAATGTTTTTCCATTCATAACATGCAGGAACACGCCACATGTTAGCAATTCTTCATTAAAACCTTCCTTTTTATATTTCTTCCTTTAGTACAAAAACATAAAATCATCTTCACACTCTCATTGTTGCACCCATTTTCACAAAGTTTTTAAATTTTAGGTTAATCTTAAATCTTAAAGAGCTGTGGTGGCACAGTGGTTAGAATGCAATATTATAGATTAACTCTGCTGACTGCCAGCAGTTCGATCCTGACTGGCTCAAGGTTGACTCAGCCTTCCAGCCTTCCAAGATTTGGTAAAATGAGGATCCAGATTGTTGGGGGAAATATGCTGATTCTGAAAACCATTCAAAGAATGGTATAAAGCACTATGGAGTGGTATATAAGTCTAATTGCTATCTGTAGAAAATCCGAATTTTATATTAAAAATGGGGAAGTTTAGTCTGGCAGTTTACTTCGGGAAACCAAAAAGCTCTCAAAGGGAAAGCACGATAGATGCTTCTCACTCTTGAGAACTACCTTATTTCCTAAAAATAAGACCTCCCTTGATAATAAGCCCAATCGGGCTTTTGAGTGCATGCACTAAAATAAGCCCTCCCCGAAAATATTGCAACACAGCAGCAGCCATGAGGTGACCATGCTCGCTGCCTCCTGCACCTCAGAAATAAAAAGACCTCCCCAAAAATAAGGCCAAGCACATATTTCGGGGATCAAAAGAAAATAAGACCCTGTCTTATTTTTGGGGAAAACATGAGTCACTCACCTGCAAACACAGTTAAACCATCTTGATGTGGGTAATATAAACAGAATATGTCCCTTTGCCACTCCTCCTTAATGCATTTAATGGAACATTATTTTATTCTGTATTACAATTATACCAATTCAAAGAAAGCTCAGTTATTCAGGTTTCACCTGGGTTAATAGAAGTGTAGCCTGGTGTATTTCCTTTGTTTTGCATTCAAGAGCCACCAATGAATGGATAGTCTGAAGACAGATTAAGTGTTGCTCACTTCAGTGGAACAGGACTAATGAACTAATCAGTAAACACATACATAATACCATCTTCTGCTTTAGGGATAATTGCAGTACAGGTGGTCCTTGACTTACAACGGCAATTGGGACCAGAATTTCCATTACTAAACAAGGTGTTGTTTAGTAAAGGAGCCATTCCGGATTTTTACTAGCTTTTTTTGCACAGTGAATTACTGTAGTTGTTAAGTGAATTACCTGGTCATTTAGCAGATCCAGTTTCCCCATTGACTTTGCTTGTCTGAAGCTGGCTGGGAACGTTGCAAATGTGATCACATGACCCCAGGATGCTGCATCTGTCATAAATATAACCCAGTTGCCCTGTTCCTGAATTTTGATCACAAGACCATGGGATTCTGTGACAGTTGTAAATGCGAGGATCAGTTATAAGTCTCTTTTTCCAGTCTGGTTGTAACCTTGTACAGTCACTAAATGAATGGTTGTAAGTTAAGGACTATATGTAATGTCACTCCTGCTCCAGAAGGCAAGGGAAACAAATACACCAAAGTCTGATAATGTGTAATTGTAAAAAATATCTTTCCATAGTTGGGTCCAGCAGGGTGATTTCCTAGATTATTTTTCTTAGCATGTTGTGTGAATCAAGCCATGTGCATGGTTGATAATTTATTCAACAAGCCCTGATTAAGAAAAAAAAACATGCCTTATGGAGATATGTGAACCTGGGTTATTTTCAGCTGCATCCATTTTAAAGTTAAGCCACCTTAATTACTGCATCAGCATCTACACCAGTGTTTTTCAACCACTGTGCCGCGGCACACTAGTGTGCCGTGACATAGTGTAAGGTGTGCCGTGGGAGAATTACTTTATATATAGTCAATATAGGCACAGAGTTAATTTTTTTTAACATTTTCTAATGGTGGTGTGCCTCGTGATTTTTTTCATGAAAAAAGTGTGCCTTTGCACAAAAAAGGTTGAAAAACACTGATACACAATTCTCTCCCACCTTCTATTACTAATGACTGAGTGCTCAAAGCCATAAATCCAGCTTATGATGTTATGTGCATCTCCATTTTTTTTTATTTTAAGGGCAGCTAAATGGCACTGCCCCATATGTATTTACAGAGGTAGTCATTTTATACGCTAGGTTCATGCACAGAGATCCAATCCATATTTCTTTAGAACTTACTGCCCTCGGCTCAATAGACTTAATTTTCAAATAAACATGCACAGAATTGTACAGTGACGCAATAGGTGGGAAAGGCTGTACCTCTGGCAGCCATGAGTAAATGGTAACAGATCCATAAGAGTGGTTTTGTGGTGCAGCTCAGACTTGTGAGTCATTCATTGGTTGAAAAAGAAAGGAAATAAAATCTAAATTCAGAGGAACCAATATACAGCCTTTTAATGTTGGATAAGCTAACATAATGAGGCAGATATCTTGGTTAATAAAAAAAATCACAAGGATTCATCAAAATGAGAGACATCTTAATGAAAATTGAATGCTGGTTGAAGGGGAACAATATTTACATATGGTTATTTCCATGAAACAGAACAAAGAATTGCACTTAAAGGACAAAACCATGTCCCCAATGAGGAGTAAGAATGAAACAAGATTGTCATGGGATCTGCAGAATTCAACAGTACAGTTATATTCAACTCTATATACACTCAGATGAAACAGAACACCTTTGTCCTAAAAAGCAAGAATTGTGCTTAACTGTACAACTGTACAAATATCTTGTTCGGGTGTTCACAAATTTTCAAGTTAAAGGAATTAATCCTCTATGCTACCTCAGAGCTCAAGGACTTACTTCTTCAGTTATTGGATACACTGTTAAGCTTATTCACATATGTATTTCAGTTTAATTGACCAAACCTCAGAGGACTTGACCTGATTTAAATGTGCTTACAAAAATAGTTTAAACCCCTAGAGATCAAGATATGTATATATACCTCCAGTCTAATGAGAAGGTGATCTAGACATAATAAGACGGCTGTGAAAGACAACTGCTCGTTTGCATGTGGGAGGCTCCTGTGGGACCTATCCTGCAATTATGCTAACAGGATGCCAGGTTATGGACCTCTAAGGACCAGTAGTTGTGGATATGCTGACGATGTGCATGTGACAAGCTCCAAGAGGCCTCTTTCTCTATCTGTGAAACATCTGATGCATGTAGAAAGGTCCATGCCTTGCAGCAACAAGATGTAAAGTTATTCAAATTAATAACAATAAGAATATATGTATCTGTTCTATTTTTGGACACCAATACTCTGAATATTTCCAGGGTATATGAGATTGTGTTAATCTAAATGAAAAAGTTAGAATAGCTATAATGTATTCCTAATATATATTCCCAATACATTCCCAATATTAGGGCAAAACAAAACAAAATCTTTTTTTCTCTGAGATGTACTTACAATTTTTAAACCGAGAAAAACAAGGTATTATTCAACTTTTCCAATTTATCCCTTAAAAGATCTTGTTCTCACCCACTGCTCACCAGATGTATCATGTAGATGGAATAATGGCAGATATGTAGTGTAACTGTATAGGATAATACATCTGTTGAGAATTAATGCAATTTTTGTAATTTTAGCCACAAGATAAAATGAATGATAATGTATGCTTCTTCTAGAGTGAGCATCCTTGTAAGTCTACAGTGCAGCGTTTAATTATTTTATCTTTCTTTCTGATGCATTATTTGTGTGAGTCCCCTCCCCCCATTCCAAATACACAATATTTGCAGAATAGAACCAGATCATGAAGGAAAATTGTTAGTCAAGCAATTTGTTTCGTTTGTAAGCTTCCTAACCAAAATTCCTGACCATAGGATTCTCATTTGCTGTTCTGATATCAAAACTGTCTTCTGCATGTGAAAAGTAGAAGTACCATCTGCAGCAGGAAGGTTTGATTAGAGTAGAAGCTATAAGCCCATATTTGATTAAAGGTGAGATATCACTCGAGGGAAAGTTGTTCTTTAGAGTGCAATGATGCTATCACAGCTCAAGACTGGAGTTGATTAACATCAAATCCTCTTGTGACAAAACAGGATACTTGAGATAAGAGAGAGAAATATTCCTGTTTCTACTGAAATAATTCACGTTTTCAAAATAGTGCAAACCAAGGGGCAGATTTCCCATAATACCATAGAATAAAATAATATCTTCAGTTAATTGGATACAAATTTGTAGATTTCTTGGTTCTTAGCTAATCAGCCTATGATCACTGTTCATGCATCAAATAAGTAACTGCAGTATTATTTTAGTTAACCAAATCACATCAAAGTTTGGTAGGAAATGTGGCTCAGAGTGGATTACACTCCACAAATTTGACAGCTAACCAGTCACTGGTAATGGTTCCTGGCCAACAAGAAACAATCTTTCTACTACAAGTTGCCAAAAAATATACTTTCCTTGAGTTCTTCAAGCTTGAAGCAGGCAGATGTTATTCACTTCAAAGCTTTGGGAGAGATGTGACCTCTTGCTCCTGGCCGTCTATTTCTCTGCACATTCAGGACAGTTTTGGTAAGCCAGCTAAACCACCAAAGAATGACTAAGCAAATTAACATCTGTGACTTTCATTCCAGTGATGTTAACAATTGTCACATAACGTTTTCAAAGAGTATGGAGCAGTTCTATGAACTATGAATGTTTGGCCATGGTCTTTCTTCTAGACTAGATCTTGTGCAGCCAAGAGTTAAAGAAACTGTGGGTTTCTACATTACGTACTAGACTTCGGGGGCAAACTAGAGAAGGGATATTTCCTCATTGTTTTCAAATGGTATGATATTGTATACTTATCATGTTATAAAACAGTCTGTTGCCAATATGCTCCTGGCTATCCAAAATCACATTACTTAGACCTTCATGCTGATGACTATGTAGGAAAGCATATGATTCAGGGTAGCAAGAAAAAACCTGGGGAACAGCAAACAGTTAGCTGTTCAGTCACTTTACAGGCTGAATGCCATGAAAACATGATTAAATTCACAGTGTATGTCCAAGCAAATGCACAATTTTTATCTTCATATTCCCAGAATATTCTGTGATCCTCCCAGGTCACTGGGCAAAATATAGATGGGTCTCCTGTTAAAGGAATGCATGTGTGGTTACACAAAAGAATTAGATTAGGAGTTTGTTTGCAGATGCATGAATGTTGCTAGACTACAATTGATGATTGGCAGCTAAATGCATTCATTGATTCCAATTAAAAACCACTCTGTTTGAGGTGATATGAGAGTGCTTTGACTCTGATAGCAAATTCATAAGACGAGTCACCTGATATGGCCAGATGCAATGGCCAGACTTAAGTGAAGCAGCTCAGAAAAAAATTTCCTAAAGCTTTTCAAATTTCTTCTTTTCTAAAAAGTAGGGAAGATCTTTTGGCGTACAATTTTTCTTTTATGATTACAAAAATAGGACTTAATAATAATAATAATATTAACAATAACAATATGAATAATACAAAATAATTATAATTGTATACTTTTTTGGAAAAGTATTCACACAAATCAGCAAAAATGGTGAAGATGAAGACTTTTAGAAAGGCCAAGTTCTCAGTACAAAACAGAGGAGAAGCAGCTTGAAAATGGATTATTTTTCCATAAGGCAACTTGTTACCTTTCATCTACTTCCTTGATTTATATTGGAATTGTTTGGTCTTTTAAAAAAGCATCAGAACTTGGCTTGTTTCAATTTATCGATGTGATAACAGAGTTTGAGTGCCGGTCCCAGCTTCAGACCCAAATATTTCATGATCATGTCGCTTTTCAGTAGCAAGAGAGCATTGCCATCAATCTCCTAATACAAAAAGAAAGACAGAAGACGGAATGAAGAGCATAAATCATAATTTGGAACTGTGTTTGCAGAAGAAATAAAACAATTTGCTGCAAAGCTGTAGAAAGAATTGCCCTGCATGTCTCTGACAATACCAAACATTTTTGAGAAATTCAACAAAGTAGGACCTCAATTCCCAAATGTTCTACTATTCCAGAATTGGATCTATTTAACTGAAGTGCTGGTGAATTTATTTATTTAAACTACGTTCATGAAACCTGCCATGCCATGCAACATCTGGCAATATACAACATTAAAATGCCTTCCATAAAAATGTAAATGAACACAAAAGTAATAACGAGATCACTGAATAATGAAACACCACCACCATGAAGAGACAAGCACTAAACGTGTGAGCGTAAGTCTAAACGGAAGTCAAATTTCAGAAGCAGCTGTTGATTTTCTTCATGGTCCAGCTTCATCAAGTCCTCTGAGTTCAGAGCCAGTGTCGGATGTCTGTTCTTGGGGTACTACATAGTCACAAGGAAATATGATCTTTCACAACAGCAGCAGCAGCAGCAACTACAAACTAACAAATCAGGTAACAGGGCCAGGACCGTCTAGAAGCCCCCGATAGCAATAGCACTTAGATTTATAGGTTCCACCACAAAACCGCAGACGACAAAATCGCGGTCGACGAAAGCGCGTATGTGACGTCATCACAGCGCGACGGAAAAGATCGAAAAAT